GCAACGAAAGGAACATCACCAGGAAAATTCATATCAGTACAACAACAAGAACAAAACAGACAACTACAACAATAACAACAACAGCAATAATAGCACCACCAACAACAACAACAACAACAACAACAACAACAAAAACAAAAACAAAAACAACAACAACAACAACAACAACAACAACAACAACAACAACAACAACAACAACAACAGCAATTCCAACAATCATAGCAATGGAATAAGAACGTCGACACTTATTAACTCCACACATGCACTTACGGCATTACCTCTGGACAAAGAGCTTTTGGCTGCTGCACGTATACAATTTTCTCGTCCACCAAGCACAGACAATGGACTAAAATTCATTAACTTCGAAAAAGGGGAAACTATTCACCCTTATCGCGCCGAAAGGCCAACCGGACATGAACACCCTCCAATCCTGGACCCAATGCGTCCGCCTATAGTAAGACTCACGGAACAGTCTGCAATTGGCGACCGACGCTTTTTGAAGGCACGACTGCGGGACCCCAAAATTATGGACATTGTGCGGACTTATCTTTCATACTTGCACGACCAGCCACCTTCAGTATGCATTCGCGGAATCACTAAAACTAGTGCAACTTTAATGCTGGCAGCAGAAGGACTACCAACGGAAACAGCCCTTTTACGCGAAATTTTCCTGGACGTTCACGAAGAACTCGGAATTCCACACACCGACGCTTTGGCAGACCTGAATTCACACCGCGCGTTCCTACTTAGTGAACGCACACAACGACTGCAGCAAACTAGGGAGGCCGCTCGCAAATTTTACAGTCCTCCGAATTTTCAACGGCACTGACGCACTCAACTAAAGGAAGTAACGACGACTATTCCCATGCAAGGGAATTATTATTATTGAATGACGACACTCTACATGAGGTAGACCCTACTAATGTAAGTAATACTGACCCTCCAAAAATCTCTTCACTTCCTCAACAGAATGCGACTGAAATTTTGGTGTATTGCCAAAATTTCAATCGCATGAAAAGCCCAGCTAAAATGAAAGAAATCCACCAGAACATTCTATCTTCTTCTTTTCAAATAATTCTTGGAACTGAAACAAGCTGGGACGAAAGCGTCAGAAGCGAAGAAATTTTTGGAAACAATTTTAATGTATTCCGGCACGACAGGAATTTTCAACTCTGTAATAAAAAGTCTGGTGGTGGAGTGCTCATTGCCATCAATGCTGACTTTACTTCTGAAGAAATCATAACAAATAAGCACAAGGAATTCGAAAATGTCTGGGTCAAAGCACTTATTGCCGGTGAAATACACATTTTTTCTTCTGTGTATTTTCCACCTAAACATGCCCACAAGCAGTCTTTTGAACTATTTTTTCAAATTGTTGAAACTATAATGTCAAATATGGAACCAGAAGTAAAACTGCATATTTATGGCGACTTCAATCAACGAAACGCAGACTTTATTACAGACATTGAAAATGAATCATTTTTACTCCCGGTCGTAGGTAAAGACGAAACATTACAATTATTATTCGACAAAATATCTTATTTTGGTCTTAATCAAATAAACCATGTAAAAAATCAACAAAACTCATATTTAGACCTTTTATTTACAAATTGTACTGAAGACTTCTGTGTGGATACATCATTAGCACCTTTATGGAAAAATGAAGTGTTTCACACAGCAATTGAATACTCAATCTTCGTACAAAATTCTTTTTCCTCCAGCGACTGGGAATACGAGGAAGTGCCGGAATACCATAAAGCAAATTACGAAGAAGCCAAACGTAGACTATGTACAATAAATTGGCAAAATTTAATAAGTATTGAAGGAAATGTCGATACTGAAGTAGAAAAATTTCACTCAATTCTTCAAAGCCTAATTTTAGAAACTGTACCATAAAAAAAAAGAAGACGAACACAAAACAATAAACTACCCGCATGGTTCAATCCACAACTGAAAAATTTAAAGAATAAAAAACAGAAAGCTCATAAACTATACAAAAAAGAAAAAACTGAAACCAATTTGCGAAACTATCACAACTTATGCAACCAATTAAGTACAGCCATCAACTCTGCATATGAGGACTATAACCGCAAAGTCGAAAATGAAGTCAAATCATGTCCTAAGAACTTTTTTAATTATGTAAACACGAAATTAAAAAGCAGCAATTTTCCTTCGCGAATGAATTTGGATGCAAATGTAGGTGAGAATTCTTCTGAAATTTGCAATCTCTTTGCAAATTTCTTCCAAGAAGTATACACCACATTTTCCGAAGAAGATCGTGACCGCGATTTCTTTGCATTCATTCCTGAAATTTCTAAAAACATCTCTGTCAACCAACTTTCTCAACATGAAGTCCTCAATGCACTAAAAAACTTAAACGCGTCGAAAGGGTCTGGACCTGACGGCATCGCACCCATATTTTTGAAAAACCTTTCTGAAGAACTCGCATTTCCTCTAGAGCGTCTTTTCAACATGTCTCTGAAAAATAGAAAATTCCCTGAAATTTGGAAATCATCTTATTTGGTACCTATTTTCAAATCAGGTGCAAAATCAGACATTCGAAATTATCGTGGAATTGCTATTATTTCTTGCATTCCAAAACTTTTTGAATCAATCGTAAACGGCAATATTTTTCAGCAGGTGAAAAATCTAATTACAAGTAAACAGCACGGCTTTTTTAAAGGTCGCTCAACTACCTCTAATCTTCTAGAATATGTATCTTTCATTATTAAAGCGTTGGACAGTGGCAAGCACGTTGAAGCGCTATACACCGACTTCAGTAAAACATTTGACCGCATCGACATACCATTATTAATCCTCAAATTGCAGAAAATAGGAATGGAGCCTGGACTTTTGAATTGGCTTCAATCATACCTAACACATCGTAAACAAATAGTTCGCTTTCAAAATAAACTTTCAGAACCAATTTCAGTCACCTCTGGGGTACCCCAGGGTTCTCATTTAGGCCCACTTCTTTTTATTTTGTACATAAACGACATTTCCTACATACTTAAAAAAATAAAATTGCTTGTATATGCAGACGACATGAAGCTCTTTATGGAAATAAGTAATTCTAGCGATGCAGAAGAATTCCAGAATGAAATCAATATATTCCACACCTGGTGTAGTAAAAGTCTACTTCAACTGAACGTAAAAAAATGTACTGCAATAGCATTTAGCAGAAAAATTGAAACACCGCATATTGAATTATCATTAGGCAACCAAATAGTATTCAAAGTGTTTTTTATGTTACTTCATACGCGAAGTTAACGATTTTCAGAGTTGGTTGGAAATGCTAACATGAAGCTTTAGTGTGATGATTTATTAGCTAGAGAATGATCTTTAGAAGAATGTAGGTGGATAGTTCCGTTAGAGTACGGCAGTATGAAAATTGAATAGAAGTTGAAAATGAGCGAAGGGCCATTAAAGCGACAGTTTTCAAGATGACGCACATTTTTGCCTAGCCCGTACGATGTACGCGGGGACTTGAAGTATGTCTCCAAGTCCACAGGCAAAAATGTGCGTCATCTTGAAAACTGTCGCTTTAATGGCCCTTCGCTCATTTTCAACTTCTATTCAATTTTCATACTGCCGTACTCTAACGGAACTATCCACCTACATTCTTCTAAAGATCATTCTCTAGCTAATAAATCATCACACTAAAGCTTCATGTTAGCATTTCCAACCAACCAAATAGTAGAAAAAAGCAAAATTGTAAGAGATCTAGGTGTAATCCTAGACTCCAAACTAACTTTTATAGAACATTATAATACTATCATTAGTAAAGCAAACAGAATGCTAGGCTTCATCAAAAGGTTCAGTCATAATTTCGAAGACCCATACACTATTAAGCTTTTATATACCACATATATAAGGCCAATTCTGGAATACTGCCACCTAGTATGGAATCCATACATTTCCATACACGAAGAACGCATAGAATCTGTCCAAAAACAATTCCTTTTATATGCTTTACGTAAATTGAATTGGACTGCATTTCCATTACCATCTTATGAAGCGCGCTGCATGCTCATCAATATACAAACACTTAAGGAGCGCCGCCAATTTGCAATGCTTTTCTTCATCAACGACATTATTTCAATGCGCATAGATTCGGCAGAAATTCTCGCACAATTAAATTTTTACACACCTTGTCGATATCTTAGAACACGGAATTTATTTTCAGAAACATCGTACAGAACAAACTATGCAAAAAATAGCCCAATCAATCGAATGATGCGCCTATATAATTTGCATTGCGGAACTATTGACATCACTATGTCCAAGCAGCAAATACAAACTAAGCTAAAACAGAATAGAATTAATGCATAGTATGTAAGTAAACATTGTAATAATCATTGTATGTAGTCTACACTGGCTTGACGAAATGGAAATAAATAAATAAACTAAGAAGTAACCACGCTCGGATAGCAGGGTTATTCGATAACTTTCCATCTGTCAAATTTTAACCAAAAGTTAAAATAATTCGCCAAATGGTTCAGAGCCTTAACAGATCCTATCCAGGAATTGACTGCACTACAAAGAGCAACTCTGGTCAATGATGATTCAGTCACGTGCTGTGTGTATTTCAACATTTCAGCTCCGTGGAAGTCCCCTTATTAATGGGCTCAATAATGGGTACTTTGGAGTTAGCTTGTACTGATGACCTACAGAGAACCATTTTAGAATGTCTGATAATTCACGCTCATCCCGCGGTCACTTTCAAACGCAATGGATAATGCGACTGCAAGGTGATTAGTGGTAGTATAGTGTGCTAGCATGTCCGGCGTGTCAATAGCAACGGTTTTCACATGATATACCCAGCTCTGGCTCTGGTCTAAAACTCAAAAGTAGAATTATTCAACATAATGGATTATATTCACCACATTATTGAAAACCTCACCACATCCGCAAACGTTCTAAAACTGACAGCTTTGAACTGTCGGTTTTCTGTTTACATTACTAGATGGCGAAGCACTCCGTCCGTTCAGACGAAAACGACTTTAGTTAGCATCATAACAAAAGTCTCATATCATCCTCAGGAGAGAGGAACAACTTTCCCGATTTAAAATCACTTACTGCATTTATCCCCGGAGTAAAAATGGCCCCAAACAAGGAAATGACAATGTACGATCTGGCTCAGCAGGATTACCAAGTGCTGGAGGAAATGATTGCCAAAGACCCATCGCTGATTACCAAAAAGGATTCGGTGAGTAAGCACATTTACGACTCGATAATAGCAGGTAGCCCATATTACAAAATGGGGATTAGCCTGTAGCAGCATCAGTTTGGTTTAGTTTTCTTTATTATCGAGACTTTCAGCCGTGGGATGGTTCGTCGCTGGAGGCCCCGCAGTGTCAGTTGCTTGTTTTATACGTTTTATATTGTTGATTGCAACTTAAACAGAACTACCCAATAAGTGTGATAAAAGTGCACGTTTCAGTCAAATCATCTTGGTGCCCTCGGCACACTTAATTCATGCTTCGTAAGGATGAATTACCATTGTTGTTAACTTTTCGTGGCGTAACTAATTCAACGTAACTAATTCAACTAAAAAATGTAATCAAACTTTTCACGGAGTAATTAATTACATTTGGTTTCACTGCATTAATTAGTGCTTAATGTAATGACTATTTTACAAAAACCGTCATTCAAAAAGTTAAGATTTGTGTAAGTGATGAGCGAGGGGAATCCGTTGAATTTCTTCTGCACTTTCCTTAGATCCGTAGTATATATAAAGAATACGTAGATCTAAACTTTACCACACTGATAAGTACACCGATGAACCAAAACGATTGGACGGAGACTGGTACTTGAATCTCACCTTTTAACTGCTCTGTTCCCTGGCATCATAGTCCCACTAGCATTGTTGATGAAAATGAGATACCCGCAAATCCCAATTAGTAATTTCCCGTTTTTTTGTCTAAAATTTTGGTATTTTTTTCCGACTTCGGTAACGTTTTACCAAACTTTCAACAGCTAAACGTTCTGTTAAACTTTGACCCTCATTGATTGATTGATTGATTTATCTTTATTTAGGAGGCTTTCAGCCTGAGGCTGGTTCGCCTACAACAATTGACCCTCATTTTAAAAGCTGTTTAATCTCAATACACTGTCAGCCTTGATTAAATAATCGATTCTTGTCACTGTGATGAAGTTTGAAGCCTTAAAACTAATGAAATAAAATGCCTAATTTGATCACTAGGTACAATGGGACATTATTAAGATAACAGATTTTTTCTGGATCTTGAATTTGGTTATGCGTTGAAATCTTCAACATTCACTTAGGACAATTCTTGTAAAGAAAATTTCAGATTCTCTCTGGGAGTCCCTCGAAAATTTCTTTTAACATACCAGGAATTATCTGCAAAACACTCCACAAATTCATGAAACTCGTCCTTAGATTTTCTTTGAATTCCAAGCTTTTATAAGAATTCACTGAAGCTTCCTTCTATTTTTAAATTCGCTTGGATTCTCCTTAGAATTCACATGCAATTCACCTCAGAATTGTCTTAAAATTTTGCTCAAAATCATCTTGAAGTTCTCCTGTAAATTATTCTGAAAATACACTTGGAATTTTCCTTAAACTATCAAGGAGTTGTTTTCGAGATGCCCCTGAAATTATACTCGGAATTTTCTTAAAACTATTCGCATAATTCGTTTGAAATTGTACCATTAAAAGTTAAAATACGATTCCCTTGGTGTTTTTCACGGATTCTGGGAACTTCATCACAACCCAATTGACTTGGAATTCTAGTCCAAACGCTCTTAGAACTCATCCCAAAACTCCCTAAAACATTTTCTTTGGATTACCACCAACATTCTTAAATCTGCTCAAACATTTTTTGGAAAACAAATTTCTAAAATTTTTTAAAAAAATCCCTAGAAATGACTATCCTGAAAATCTAGTCCAGTCCAATGGTCCAGAGGACAAAGTATATTTTTTCTCGATTTGTTCCCTGCTTTTTCCCCGTTGACTGGTCACCCTGTATACATTGGAATCGATTGTCAAGCTATCCATAAGAGCCCACAGAGGGAAAAAAAAATGTGCTTGTTGTTTTAACGAATGGGACTTATTAGCCCAGTTTGGCGCGAAATCACACGCTTGACTCGTTTTAGAACGAACGCTTCCTGCTGCACTGGGCAGCCCTCGGTGGGCGGGATCTGCTGGTAGAGGAGCTGCTGAAGAGGACACCCGCCCAGTTGGAGGCCACCGATGACACGAATGCAACTCCACTGGTGTTGGCCACTCTCGGAGGTCATCTGAGCACCGTCCGGTTGCTCGTGGCTCAGGGGTCGAATGTCAACCACCGAAACTGGCAGGGACATTCGTCTCTGCAGTATGCCTGCTCCAAGGGACATTCGGAGGTTGGTGGTGGTTTAGTTTTTCACGAGTTGTAAAACATTCCGAATCATTTGAATTTTCCGTAGGTTGTGAAGTTCCTGATCGAGCATGGAGCCGACATCAACGTAACGGACCAGCGCAATGATACCCCGCTGCATCGAGTGGCATCGCTGGGTCGCGTGGAAATCCTCAAGTACCTGGTCGAGCAAGGTGCTAAGGTGGACATTCAGAACGCCGAGGGAAATACGCCCTTGCATTTGGCCTGCGAAGACGAACAGAGTTCCTGCGCTGTGCTATTGGTCGAGCACGGCGCCTCGGGTACGGTTCCGAACAAGGAGAAAAAGACTCCACTGGATCTGGCTAAACCGGGCATGAGAAAGAACTTGAAGAGCAAGCTTGGAATTGTCGATGAATAAAAGAAATGGGTATTTTTTGTATGGATTAAATCTCTTTCAGTTTTATTTTGCATCTCACATTCGAAAACACGTGTCCATAATTTATTAAATCTTTGAAGGAAATTGTTATTTAAAATATTTCGAACGTCGGGAACAATTTGGTGCTTAAAAGCTATTCTTTAATTCGCAAAATCACAGAAAAATTTGAAACACCTACTAAAACTTTAAAATCCTAGACCGGCGTCCAGTGTTCCGCTGTCCAGATCAAGGCATGCATGTTGTTGGATCGATCCTTCAGCAGCGATTCTTTCAAGCGTTTGTCCGGGGCACCGGTCGATGGGGTGCTAACTTGCCCGGTGGTGACATCCGTGTAGCGATCGATCAGAGACCGATAGCCACGACCAACGGTGACCAACATCGGGCTGGGGCCGCCGTACAGCGGAACGATATTACGAACATCCTCCTCAAATGGACGGAATATCGTAATCGGTCGCAGAGTTTGCTTTTCCACGATGATGATGCAACCCCAGGTGGTGCCGATGTAGAGTTCACCATTCAATGCGGCCATTGCAGAGACCTGACATTTGCCGGGACTAAGATGTTCATCGATGGCGATGCTTTTCAGACTCTCTGAGCACGGCACCAGCTTCGAACAGTCCAATCGATTCTCGATCTGTTTCCCTGTCGATCGCCACTGATACAGAATGCACCCGGGCGCAACGTATGAGTAGACCCAGTCGTCCGAAGCGCAAAGCAGCGCGACCGTCAATCCACGAGTCGGAAGTGGCGTCTGGAAGTGCGTCAGATGATGCTGTCCGGAAACGTGTGTATTCTTCAATGAGAACACATTCATCGCTCCGTCCGTTTCACCGCACCACAATTCGCACTCGGCCTCGTTCTTCCACAGCGGACAAACACTGTACAGACGCTCGCCCGAACCAAGTTCCGACAGGACGAAGCTGCCTTCCGCCGATACGGAAGTGCTAGGCGTTAACGTCGAGTCCAGCAGGAATAGACGTCCGTTTTCCAAACCTGCTGCAACGCGACCGAACTTCTGCAGGTAAACCAGCGCCACCACCGGACACGGCTGCGCAGGTTCCAGAGCATAAGAGAACTGATGCACGCAATCGCTAGCGTTGAACGCGTAGATGTTACCTTCAGCGTCACCGATCCAGACGGCTGTCTCGACTATGCATGCCGTCGTCAGCTTAATCTGCTTCATCTGGTGCGGAGTGGTGGGCTGAGAATGGTAGCCACTTCCATTCGCCGATTTTACCGGGGTACCTATCTGAGGGCACAGGATCCGATGGTACTGTTGCCATCCCTTGATGGACCCTAGCAGGACGTCGATTCGAGAATTTGAGCAAGGCAACCACAGCTCGTGACCTGATATGACCGTTTCGTCGTCTATGCTAGCAATCGGGCAAGCAATTCCATCCATCGTATTGCCCGGATGGCTCAACGAAATTATGTCTAACAAATGGGTAAACTCCGGAGCGCTAGCGATGGACACAATCTGACTGGCGGAAGGACGAACCTTCGGCTGCTGATCCCAGCAGAGCACCATTAAATCCAAGCAATACGAAGGAAACTGTGTCTCCCGCTGGGTTAGCACCGGCCGACCACCTTCCAGGATGCATTCCTTGACCGCTTCGTGACCCTCGAACGGTTGCCGCAGTGCGATCAGCTCGTATAGGAACATTCCAAACGAGAAGCAATCCACTTTCTCGGTATATTCCTCCTCGCCATTGTGTCGCATAATTTCCGGCGCCATGAAGCCTTCGGTACCTCCGAAGCCCTTGGAACCGGACGGCAGCGTAATTCGGCTGATGCCGTAGTCCGCCACCTTGATATGAACCCCGTTCGTGGGATGATCATCGCTAAAATTTAAAAAATAGATGTCATTTAATTCAGCAAAAAATCCCACCAGATGTCGCTCTACTTACGCATGCGGTTCAGGGAAATCCCAAACCAAAATGTTCTCCGCTTTGAGATCTCGGTAAATGACTCTCCTCCGATGCAGATATTCCATGGCTTTGGCAGCCTGGAGAACCAACGACTGGAAGCAGTACGGTCCGATCCGAGCTCCACTTCGGCGGAAGTGCCGCAAGACGGCATCCAGTGCTCCCTTCGGAGCCAAGTCCAGCACCAAGGCCAACGGCTGCGTGCAGACCCCAATCAGCGGGACGATATTCGGATGACGCAGCGTAAGTAAAACCGCCAACTCCTGCCTTGCCGTGCAGTAAGCCTTGCAGGAGTGCTGCAACGGGTCACGCTCCCACTTTCCGAGGGCAGCTTTGTACGCGATTATGGCACTTTGGCGGGCTCGGGGACCCGGTGCAACCGGTTGCAACATCTTCATCGCAACTGGAACGATCGCCTTGGAACCGCGAGTCTTACAGGTCGCTTTGAACACGAAGCCGAATGCACCACGACCCAGCAGAGGTCCTCGGGTGATGTCACCCGACTTGATCAGGTAACTCTCCGACAGGTCCATAAAGTTCTGTCAAACAAAACCGTTATGAATCACCTATAGTTAACAACAAGATCACTAACTTACCACATCCGGAGTGATCCGCCTCAAATCGATCTCCCCATGAATCGGACATGCCACCGACTTCTTATCGTACGCAGCCAAAATACACTCCTCAACCATCCAAGAATAGCTGGGAGGCCCCGGGAGATCCCCAGCATTAACCAACGGATGCCCTTCGACGGAAGTTGCCCTGGAGCTATCGGCCGATTCCTGGCCAACACCAGAATCACAATCGGACCATCCAACCGAATCCTGCGACTTCCGCGTAGGAACCAGGTCGTTCAATATCCCAGGTAACTCATTCAAGCCACTGGACTCCCCGAATTCCTGCCTTCTATCGATGCTCAAACGTTTGTGAAACATCGGACGATGGCTACCCGTTCCGCCCGAACTGGACTTAACCTGCGACGGGAAGTTCGGTACATGACGATCCTCGCAGTCTCGTAGACATTTTGGACACGGCACCAACCGTGTCACCAAGAAGCGTCCTTCCGAGGTGTGAACAAACCTCGTACCCAGCGTCGGGTACCAGTCCTCCAGCAGCAGATCGATGTGGTCTACGCTGAGTGCCAGCAGCTGCGTCAGACACCGAACGTTGATTTCGATCTCGACGGAAGTCAACTCCGCACCGACCTCGTCCAGCTTACGAATCTTCAGTGCATTGAATGGGAAGTAAATCTCCAGAATTGACGTCGAAGTGAGATCAATGTCACACCACACTCCGTCCTGCTTGAGTTTGAACCGATTCATTGGGTTGCGATACGGTGAAGTTGGACAGGTGACGGAGATTTCCCTCATTTTGAACACCAAGGTAGACCCATAGTAGAGAGCCAATCCGGTTTGCCAAACTGCCCAGTGCGAGGACATGTTCAGCACTTGGTTGATGTCCGGATCGGCAAGGGCCTCTTTGGGAAGTGGATAGAGGGAGCGTATGGCCTCGACGACCTGGTCGTCGGCGAGGACACGCGTTATAAGACGGGACCAGAATCCGGACGGGAAGTAGGACATCAAGAGGAGACGGGAAATGGATTGCTCCGGACGGGGTAGGGTTTGAATATCGCAAGCATTATTTAGGGTTGGAGTTTGCGGTTCCGATGTGACTGGTTCGTACGTGGGAAGGTTCGTATTCATCGGGTTCCGTCGAGTTCGCATGACCCATCCCTTGGAACGAGTGGCGATCTGCAAAAAAACGATTAATCAGATATGCTGTACGAAAGCTCACGACAATACCTACCTTAACGGTAACTACTCTTTCAACAGTGCTGTCCTCTTCCAGGGGAAGAAGCGATGGAATTAGCAAAGTTCGGGCATCCCATGAAAGTGCAACTTCAAATTTGTTCAGCAAGCTCACGATGTATCTGAAAGCAGATGTTATCCTTCAATTTCCTGACGCTGCGGATAAACCGGACAAACTTACCCTCGGTTATCGTTGTTTCCCAAGCAGGAACTCTTGAACACGTGCTGCAAATCATCCATTTTCATAACTCCGGTCCTAGCGAACGGATTGATCTCCCGAACCGTAACCACATGGGCCAGCATATCGCACAGCCACTGTGGATCCAGGAAGTATAGATCCCGTAGCGTGGCATCGTCATAGTGCAAGAGGACTCCATTGTCGTGAAGGAACATAGTTGCTTGATTCAACTCGGACCAATCCCGGAATCCCTTGAAACCCCGAAGTTGCATCTCCTTAGTCACACTCAGCCGGTAACGTTCAGCATCCAGAACCGGATCTTCTCCGAATTGCCTCAGCGAAGATGAAATGATGCCCACGACGTCCTCCAGAGCCAAATAGCTTGCTGGAACCCGCTGATATAGCAGAGGCTCCTTACAACCCGGAGGTCGTAGCGAAAACGCCGTGTCGTAGATCAGGTTCGCCAGCAGTTTTATATTATGCCCGGTTCTGCAGCTAACCTCGATGGAATCCAGGACTCTCGGCAGTCCTATCTTCTCCGCATCGGATACAGCTATGAATCGATCCCGAATGATTTGCTGCAGCTCTTCAGCCTTTTTCGCTGGCAGCGTCTCCCCGACTGCATCGTAATGCGTTCCCACAATGATTACCGGGGAGTTTGGAGCCCTCGCCTGTATGTTCCCCAGCCACTGCAAAACTTCAGCCAAACCCTTTCGCCCATCGATGATCCTCCACAGCACCAAGTACAGACTCCGTTTCGACAAGAAATATTGATGCGTTGCGTAGTACTCTTTCTGCCCTCCGAAATCCCAAGTCCTGAATACCACCGGTCCATGCGACGAATGCCCCCTGATTTTCTTCTCGCAAATCCAATCCCCAATATCCACTCCCACAGTGGACATGTTTATCCCCCGACTGGTCTTCGTATTGATATTCTTATGCCCCATTCGCTTCGCCCAGTGATCCACCTGCTTCTTGTTCCTAGTCGGTCCTTCGTTTCTCAACTGATCCAGCAAACTCGTCTTTCCAATCCCCTGCACCCCTACCACCATCAACTTCATCCTCGCGTACGGCCGCGCATCTTCGTAGACCGACTTCAGATACCCAATGATATCCATCGTCTTGTATTTCTTACTCTCGATCATCGACCGTAGCGGATCCTGCAACGAACACCCCCTCGTATTGAGATTCCACAACCGCGACAACAATCCCATGTGCGGCGGCAACTCCGTTATATCCATATTCCCACTAATGTTCAGCACGCTCAGATTTGTCAACTCATGAATTGTCTGTGGAATCTCCTTCAACGAATTGTTGCTGATATCCAACATCGACAAGTTCGGGAATATCAACCGAGACTTCGCCACCCCGATCAAGCTCCATTCGGCGTCCTCCGATTCCCCAAGCGTTGTAACGTCATCCGTAGACAGTTGGATTCGGGTCAGCGAATTGTCTGCCAGGACCAGCGTTCGCAGGGATTCCAACCGAAGATGTCGTCGGTGGACGCAAACGCTCTTGAGGACCGCCGTCCGCAGTGAGGTTATGTTGTTGGAACTAGTCGATGACTTCACAACGGTGACTTCATTGGAATATGGTGTTCCACAGCTTCCCGTGCTGGCGACGGAGTTCTTGGAACCGTTCTTCTTCGGTTCCTGAGGATTGTAGCACATCAGGTGCGGATCGGAAGCTGCGATTCGGGGCAAACTTGGCCAGCAGCTGATCTCGTTGTGACCCAAGTCCAACTGTTTAAGGGACGCCGGATAGCTGGTGACGTGGCCCATCGAGCGGAGGCTGTTGTAGGACATGTTGAGTCGGGTAAGATTGACGGCAAGACAGGGCAAGGCCAGTGGGATGCTGGTGAAGAGATTGTTGGCAAGATTGAGACTACTTAGCTGAGAGACAGTGTTATCGTTTTTGGCGTCTGGTAGCCGGAGTTCCTGGTCGGTGACCTCGAGAGACTTGGACCAGATGTGGTGTTTGACGAGTTCCAAGCTGGCTACGTTACGGTTCCGGGTTAGGGAGTCGTTGTTGTCTTCGTAGGAGTAGGCGTGGAAGAGGCAAGCTTCCGTAACCGGAGAAGGGGGTTCAGTGGCATCTGCGGCAAAATCGGCTAAGTTCGGTAGGGATGGAAGGTCTTTGAGGAAGTTAAAGGCAACGTTGAACTCTTTGAGTTTGGGGGACTTCCACAGTTCGAAGGGAAGCTCTTGAAGCTTGTTGTTGGAGACGTCCAGAATGGTAAGACTGGGCAGGAGGAAGAGTCGAGGTGGAATGTACTCGAGACGGTTGTCCTGGAGGTAGAGTTCCTCCAGGACAGGGCAATTGTATTCGGGTGGTGAGGTCTTAGAGGTACGTCGTTTCTGTGGTTGGTAGGTCGAGCATGCTTCGATGTCCTCTGGAAGTGGGAGGCGTTCGATTTTGTTTTGCGCTGCGTTCAGATAGCGGAGACTGCCGAGGGAGAACATTTCCGGAGGAAGATGGGCGAGGGAGTTGTGGGAGATGTCAACGCGCGTCAGGGCACCTAGCGACAGCTGATAGCACCGTGGGTGACCTTTGAGCTTTGGATTGCACTGGAGAACGGCTTCGCTTAGCCAGGGCATCTTGATCAGCGCTAAACGACAGTTGTTGCTGTGCCAATTGATCATCGTAGCTGTACTGGGAAATAATGAACTGTAAGTGAAGCTTCCAACTAGTGGGAGAGCACTGTATTCTGCCTCCTGAGCGAAGGCCTTCTTGTTGATTTTGTAGTCTGGATCGGCATGGGCTTTGATCGAGAGCAGTCGGCAGACGATCTGTTCGTCGGCGTTCTGAATGGCGATACTGAGAGCGATCGACTGGTCGTCTTTGGCTCCGTACTTAAGGAGTAGATCAACCATGGCTAAAGACTTCTGCCGAGTAGCTTCGGCTAGTGGGACATTTGAAAACCCGTAGATTTCATCCGACGACCTGGGAATAGATAATTATTAGATTACTGGCTGGTAGCTACTAACAAATTCCAACTCACTTGGGATCATTCTGGTCCTCGACGGCTCGCGCTACCACATTGGGATCCGCTCCGTTCTGCAGCAGAAGCGTTACTACGTCTAGGAAGCCCCCGCGAACTGCTGCAAGCAGAGCAGTCTCCCGTGCCGCTCCACACAAGATATTCAAATCCAACGGACATCTCAACTCCACGTTCTCGTCTCGATCTTCGCCATGATCGCGTCCCAAACTTAACCGGGACATGATAGATTGAATACCGAACGAAATCCTTCGATTGGAAGGACTCAGCGGATTGCTAGATGGAGTTACGGCTTCCCTTGCGCCTCCTCCGCCATCGTCTTCCAACGTATACCGAACGCATTTGACCTTCCAGTTCAGGAGTAGATCTACCAATTGACGGTTCCCTAGAAGACAACTCACATACAGGGCAGTTTGACCGGTGACATCCTGGGTGTTCGGATCGAACGCCAGTCGCCACTCGAGCTCTCCGCTAGGATCTCTGGAAAGGGGTGATTTGATTCTACTTGGTTAGCGTGGGTCACAAGGTATGGTTAGAAACAATGAGGGTGGGATGAAGGAACCAATTGAACAAACAAAAACAAATTGATGTGATTTAATTTCATGAACTGAAAAGATAACTTCGGAGTCATACCTGAACGAGCTCATCAGCTCCTCCGGATAGTGGTTTCGGATCAGCAGTTCCACCACTGGACAGTGTCCGTTGATGCACGCAGCGTGGAACGGTAGCCACCGTTCCACCGTAAGCTGCTGCACCAGTTCCGGGAATCGATCGAGCAGCATGGCGGCGACCTTTTTGTGACCATTGTGAACCGCCGTGTACAGAGGAGAATAACGCGTAACGGCATGTGCTCGCCCATCGGCACCTGCATCCAGCAACAGCTGAACGATGCGTTGCGAGCCGTTCTGGGAAGCTCTACAAGTACCAACAGATAACGGTTAATCAATCACAGAAATAAATCGCAAAAGCGAAGACCTACATGAAGAGCAGCGTGTTTGCCCCACCCGGTGCCATGTTGACGATAATCTCCCGCTCCGGACCGATGCTGTCCAACAGTAGTTGGACCAGCGTCTCATCCGAAGAGCTTACCGCTTCGCGTAGATTCTTGTGCTTCTGTGAGCGGATCTGTTCCCGAGTATCTGAAATTGAAAAAAAAACTCGCATCAGTGCAAGGTCAACCACCGAGTTGACAGCAATTGAAAACCTATAAGCTTGCTTCCTTTTCGCAACCCGCATTTATTGCTGATTATTTGATACCCATGTAGTGCCTGTTGTTGATTTGATTTGATTTCCACCAACGTGATTTGGAACGAACCGGCTCAACCGTTGGTGGTTTTCGCGGTTGACTGCCGATTGGCTCAGTGCAATGAGCTGCGTTCAATCGGCAACCAGACGGACGGAACGCACGAAATTGCAATCATGGGAAATCGAGGCTCAATGGTGCGTAACTGAATAGAGTTATTATATGTGGAGTGGTTCCGTTTGAGATGAATAAAATAACGATTTGGGAATGGGGTTTTGCCCTCGGAAAGTACGACTTATGGTCGCGCAGAATTGAGCCATTTTGATTATACTGATATCCGTTAAGTACATGAAGAATGAAGAGCGTTTGGAGTGGGCTGAGTATTTTCCCAGGGAGGCCACTGAATTTAAGAAATTAAATTACCGGGTTTTCCGTTTTTTTTTTCGGGTCCCCAACATATTTTTCCCGGTTTCATATAAACAGCTAAATATGGTAGAAAGGGAATACTGGCATTATTGATTTCAGAATTCAGCAACAGGCGCCTCTTATACTGAGCAGTTTTACGCCAACTGACAATTCGATCAGACTCGACCATCTTAGGTGCCTGGGTGAGTAAAAGCTGGTGACCGAGCTGATCAGCAAAAGGAATACAGTCGAATTTCGTTGGTTGGGCTATCTTCAAGTGGACTACGTTTTAGTTGGATTCCCGTTAGTTGGGCTGTAGCCCACAGTGATGGAATTCTCACCAAAATATCATTTTCGCTTGCGATACGTTTTCTCTTGGGAACTTTCCCTCACTAGTTTCACACTCCAATATTTCCTGAGCGAACTTTCTGGGATGAGAGAATGAGATATCGCGAACTTTTTTAACTCGAATCACCAACGTGAGGATACGAAAAATATCAGATCATTTTTTCTCTCTATCTCTTTACACCACATTCGTTCTTGAAAATTGCACTGCACATTTCACAAGGGAAAGATTATAGACAGAAAGCTATCCCGAGTAAATCAATACAATCTCTAAAGACTGATAAGTCTGGTACCTGGCTGTCTACTGGCGCCTGTTGTTTAAAGTAGCCGTTATCAGGATGATGTGAACAGTTTTGTGCAACTGATTGATTGGTGCATTGGTTTCTGGCAAAAAAAATGAATGAATCAGCACAAGTGTCAACGCGACATTAATGAGGAACGGGGAGAGTAGTGTAAGATTTTGTGACTAGCAATTTTTATATTAAAACCGTTCCTCAGGATAGGGGGTTGCGGAAGGAGGAGCGCCTAATGTATCCTCATTTTCACGAAATACAGTTAATGCATGGCTCCTCTCATCACTAGTGTTCGTAATATCATAGAGGTAACTCTAAGACCACTGGGTCCCGAAGAAAATCATTATTATTTTTGGCTCACTCAGTACCAGAACAACGGTCCCAAGCAGTCCCAAGCTATTTCACTCACCCCTGCATGTTCTGCATGAATCCACACACCCCTGATGTTATCTGTCAAACTTTCATAGCGAATCAAAACAAACATAGTGTAGTAATAGAATTTCAACTAGAATAGGGTACGTTAATCGTTTGCTTGGGACCAATAGGCTACTAAAGTGGTGAGCCAATTTAAAATCGTTAGTTTCATATTGATTGTTGGTAATATCGTTTCTGTAAGCGCTTATGCAATAATTATATGCAGGGGGATGGTTGGGAATATAGGTGGTGGTGAACTTTTTCACTGTGTTATTACCAGTGCTGTAAATTCTCAAAATCATTTGAACATTTTTGATGAAAATGAGAAAAGTAGCTATTCGCTATCAAAGGGGACCTCCTCCGAATGGGTGATATCAGTTGCTTAGTCATTTGACGAAGGCATGGATCATTCTCATTTGAGAAACGCTATATATCATTCGATTGAGTGTAACCTACACACAAACGGAGCTCTGGTCGACATTCCGGCGAAAAAGCTAAGCCAACCCGACACCAACCTGACTTCTATCAAACCCCAACCCGATGTTGACCCGACATTGACCCGACATAAACCCAAAATTGACCCGACATTAACACGACATTGGGTCGACATCGACCTTAAATTAGCCTTACATTGATCCGACATCGGATCGACTTGTCTGTTCGGGACCATTTTCCTGGATTTCTTCCATACTCCACTGTCGTATATCAAATGATACTGAGTGACTCAATTGACAGTGACAATGAGCTTCGAATGAGAAAGGGGCTCTTCAAATTATGGTCATGTGAGAATTCGTTTTCACAATTCTGTGAATGGTTGTAGTGGTTCATCTTCAATCGAATGATATGAAAATTTACAGCACTGGTTACAAGTATCTACTATTAGCTGGTTGCATTGAGAACTAAAACTATAAATAAATCCGGAAAACTTTGAGATTAGGGCGTAATTTCTTTTGTAAACACACACTTAATTCGCCGATTTCTCGTGAATTAAAGTTCAATCTAAAAAACTAACAACACAGACAGGTAGAGGAATGATTCATTTGGTATAGTATAGTTCGCTAGATTGTGCTTTGATTCGTGAGAAATCGCTGAATGACGTGTTTGTTTACAAAAGCAATTACGCCCAAATCTCAAAGTTCTCTGGAAATGGTATTTAATGTGAAGGATGCGAAAAATATCGGAGAACGAGAAGAAAACAAACAGACACTCTCGCATGATCATCGCCTACCTTTACTCGCTGGAAAAAAAAAGAACAAAGCTGAGGGGATATTTGGTTGGTTCGAATCACGAGTACGTGTGAAATGATGTGAGATGGAGAGACGAAAGATCTTTCGCGATACGAAATGAAAATTTCTCTCGCTCTACGCTTTCATGAACTTTTTATCATCTCTCGTTCGCGAACTTTTTGTGAGAAGTTCCTTTGGGATTTATCTCTGCAATGAGCTGTGATAGAACTTTTTTTGAAAATGATTTTTCCAACACTGGTAGCCCACCTAAATTGAAATCAAACGTCATTTCTGACAGTGCTGATTTGTTTTCGAGCGGCTCATGGATGAACAATTTGAATAGTTGCTAAGCGGTAATTCCTTCATTCAATTTTCAGCTCAGCCCAACTAACGTTAAGGGGTATGGGTATAGCCCAACGAGCGTAAGTTGACTGAAAAAATTACCTAGGCACTAATAAAATCTTTTGTCCGCTCGGTCATCAGCTTTCATTCTGCCAGGGCCTTCTTTTCCTTTATTTAACGTCGGTCCCTGTTCCGCAATCTAGTGCCAATCACCGACGGACATCGATTGCCATCCATTGACGGCAATCGAATGTGCAGGAAGGCAGCTTCCACACCTGCGTAGGATATCGCACCCATTCACAACACACATGGGCCGGGACCAACGGCTTTACTTCCCTTCCGAAGGAAGACGTGACCAGAGATTTTTATGCCTCAGAAAAATCCCACCGACCTCGGCTGGGATTGAACCCAGACCCATTGGGGTGTTAGAAAGCAGTCACGCTTACCACTACACCACCGGCGCCGGCTTGCCAGGGACCTTAGAATATGCCTGTTTAATAGAAACTTAGCGATCGATTCAACCTCTGGTGATGAATAGAAGAACATCTTCTTCTTCTTCTGGTCTGAGCTGAAGCCGTCACTGTCAACTCGAAGGGGGTAGGGCCAGTTACTGCGACTATATGCCCTGTACCATTTTGAATTTGGTTCAACTTGCTCACAGGTCTAGTTTTGTTTCCTTAACAAAGCTGCATACTTCCTTGTACAATTTTAGGTTTTCCGATTCGAACAGATCGGATAGGTTGTGGTGTTCTTTAGTGAAGGAGTTTTGTTCCTAATGTTGTTGAATCTTCTATAACGTAAAATCAGATGTTCCGCTGTCTCGGCTTCGCCACATTCCTCAAAATTCAGATTTTCCGCCAGATTCATTTTCGCTAGCCAGAATTTTGACCACTCATGTCCCGCCATGAGTCGATTCAGAAACCGAACTTGCTTTCCGTTTAAATCCAGGCTGGTAAACCAAGGCTTCTCCAGAATTGCGGTTTGTATCATGAAAAACGTCTTGCCTTTTTCCTTTGCGTAGTTCCGATACCAGTTGTTGGCGTGTATGTGTTTCCGTTTTGTCAGGAGGTTAGGTTAGGTTATCTTTATTAGCGAGACTTTCAGCCAAAGGCTGGTTCATCTCTTGTTTTTTTCAGGATCCTGTAGACATCCTTGCGTAAAATCGAATTTTCGAGTTTCTCAATGTTTTCTTCGGCTAGTCCGAGCTTGGCCAACTCGTCAGCCAATTCATTTCCTCTTTCGCCCACATGGCTTGGTATCCACTGTAATAACACCCTCCAGCGTGCCGCTAACTCCAGAATGTCGTTGAGTATCTCCTCTCGATCACATTGTTCCGTAGCGTTGTCCAACATTTCACATGCTGCTTTGGAATCAGTGAAGACGACATGTCCTTCCAACTGTTTCTCTTGTACCACATTCAATGCTGCTTTGATGGCTATGAGTTCAGCTCCTGTAATGCTTATTTAATTGGTAAGGTGAAAGGAGAATCTTCCCCCTGTACTTGCCACAAATATTCCTATTGCACATTTTTGAAGCGTCCGTATATATAAGTCCTCTGCCTTTGTATGTATTGCGAATAGAATGGGCTGTTTCATTTGAATATTGGGCAAGTTCGTCTTCGAAGTAACTAGCCCATCCAGTGAACATATGATTTGGAACTTCAGTCTCGTATTGCAATTTTTTAAATTTGCATAAAGTTGTCGGAAATGATTTTGAAAAATCCTTTCCATATACGAGAGTTTAGATTAATCTGTTATGTTACTAAAGTTGGCTTGTATAAATTGTCTGCCAACAGCTGTTTGCTGAGCGTTGTTTCGTGCTATCTCCTTTCCAGTTATGAATTCCTGACGTATCGGTATTGGGTCCAGTCC